TTATGATAGTTGCTCATGTAGATGTCTGGGGATATACAATAGCAGTACTAACATAAAACGCATACATCAAGTGCCAGTAAGAAAGAACAAGGGATGTGCATTGGGGTCATTTTGTATGATGCCTATTTAGAATATTAATAAATACTTGACTTTCCGCATCAGATCTTTGGATTCGGATATTGTTGTTAATCTTTGTATCTACATCTACATTGCTGTAGCGGTGATGTAGGCGTCAGCATGATTCAGGGTGAATTTGTCCTCTGATGTGCTGAATTCAGGACACAGCAGAAGTGATGGAGGAGGATATTTGTAGGTATGGGACACGTGTTCAGTCACATGTAGGTCTCAGAACAGTGATGATGACAGACAGCATTCTATGTGCCAAATTATTTTTATTCCTGTACTCGCATTGATCTTCCCTACCCAGCATACATCAAGGTGAATGTCGAATTATATATCTGTTGTGTACTGAATAATAATTATTAAAAAAAAAAAATTAATCAGGCCGCTTCTAAGCAATTCTGCAGATAAAAAAAAAGATTTGATTAGATTTGCACGGAAAAGCTGAAATTGCATCACCAAATGTTGTTGAAAATGCCATAAAATTAATTAAAATTACATAAAAGTAATTAGCACAAGACTGTCATCTCTCAACCTATGACTAGTCAGGATCCTGCAGCTCCCAGTGGAGAAATATTAGGCCGTAACCTTTACTGCTGACAGCCTGACTGATATACACACACACACACACTGGAGAGCAGTTCAGGACATCCACAGACTCTCAGGAGACCACTGAACCAGCAGCCTGTCCAATACTGCAGTCTCTGGAGGAAAGCGCCTCTTCATAGCTTAATTGGGCCATACTGAAGCATGCTGGGAGATTTACAAACTATTTAATATTAGCCTGGTATTCACTGTCTATTAAAAGGAACCCATAACCCATTTCAGAGAGATTAAAACAAGCAGATTTTTACATAAATATGGACACTAGGGCTGTCAAAAAAAAAAAGTGAATTTCGAATATTCGTTGAATTAAAAAAAAATAAATCCACATTCGAATACAAAAACGTTGCATTCAAATTTTAGGTCTGCGTCAGCCGTCAGGCAGCCTTATCAGTGGCGCACGAAATGCGACGACGATGTAAGTGTCATTGCATTTTAATGCTTTTGTTAGCCTATCCAGTTGAACCCACTAGAAGCGGCGCTGCTACGTTGTTCATTCAATATATTGCGGAAAACGAGAGCATCAGTGTGGAGAAGATGTTGTTTACGTCAAAACTGAAACCAAGCCGTTCACACAGAACGCATATTTATCACATTTTCTAGAGGGACATCTATCAGTGTTGCACTTGCGTCTCGCGATGTTTAGAAAGCCATGTAAAATTAATGTAAGTTCAACTTTTAAAAAACATGTCTCAAGACGTTATGGCGGTTTTTCTCCATCCCACTGTATCTCGTGTTTTTAAATAAAGAAAGTAGCCTACTTTTGTGTTTGGTTTTCGGTCCTTTGTATTAAACTATACATACATGCATGGTGCTGTTTTTTTTCTAATTGTTTAAGCAACTTTATTAATTATATATGGTTTATAAACATTATTTTAAACATTATGCACTTTTTTTCAAAGATCGTCGTGTTATTTTATTACACTTGAAACGTGCATAATATTTTGCTCGATGCGCCCTCTTGTAGCCTCAGGAGAGAAGCCAAAAGTCCCCCCACCAACTGAAATTATGCATTTTAAATTCGAATATAATTTGAATTTTGATCATATTTAATTAAAAAATTCGAATTTAGTTTTTCAGTCATTTTGACAGCCCTAATGGACACGTACATCATATAGATGTTGCAGTAACATTTTAAATGCATTTCTGACCCTTGCATATTACAACATGGTGGTTCTTCAGTAACCAGAAGCATTAATCGTTGCTTATGTTTTTGCAAGGCTATCATACATTTTATTAATGATTTATAAATAACTGTACGCCAGTTAAGCTACACTGCCCTTATGAGGGCATTTGCAAAGTCAGCGGAAAACAAAAACGCTTATTTTAGGTCTTAACACACACACACACCTTAGTTTTTCCTGTCTCAGATTTCAGCTAGATTAAATGCATAAGTTTCTGCAGCTTTAAAAGAACAGCAGGTAGGAATGCACCAGTTTTATGTGTGAGGTGATCTGGCTCCAGCTGACCTGGTATTCTGCTGGGGTTTCAGTCCGAAGTGTGTTAGGAAAAAGATCAGCATTTTAAAGTCCTCAAGTCTGCGGATGTTTCGAAACTCGTTGGTTTTATTAGTTTGTGTAATAGTATCCAAATGAAATCACCAAAAATCACAAATCAGTAACTTGTGAAGGTGATTGGCAGATTTGCAGACCAATTAGGATTAAGAGGAGGGGTTAATGCATCAAAAAAATGCACCAAATAGAGGTTCGCCAGTAGTCATCAATAAAACATCACAGGGACGTTGGAGAGCCTGGTATCACCACACTCAAGTCTCGATTCTCGGTTTGTTCCCAGAACAATCCAGCTAGTGTGTCTATGAGCTCATCTGACTGCAGATGTTTGTATATTAGACAGCATAAATACAAGAGGATGATGTCACATACTGGATTGAAACGGTCACGTGCAGATTGACATAAAATCAAAATTTACTCTATTTTCTTAATGCAGGTTACTGGTCTGTTTGTGAACAATTGTTTTGGCATGTTATTCCAAAGAAACTTGACGTTTCCTATGTGATTGCCAGTTTTCATGCAAAATTATAAAAATAGATTGTCAAGTCCCGCCTTTTTCATTTCACACAGAAACAAGAAGTTTAAAATGGTTTGCAAATGGCAGTTCACATTGAGTTTAAGATTTTTTTTCCTGCTTGTACTTTTTTGGACTATAATTTAAGATTTGGCAAGGCAGAACATCGTTGTGTAAATATTTGTGAGAGCCAGTAAGGACTTTATCCTGGGTGCCAGTGGAAGCTGCTCTTTGAAATTGTTGAGTTCAGCGGGAGTTTCTTTCTCAGAACATGAGTGTTTGGGATTTCAGTGTTGGCAGTGATGTAAAATGTGTCCTAATTCTTGACGAGTGAACAGCTGCTTAGATATTTCAGCATCTCATAAATCATTGTTATCTGTTCAACTCTCCAATATTTTGGCTGTGTATAACATCACATTGATGCTCTTATAAGAACATCATGTGTCCTAATGTCAAAAGAGAGACATGCCTTTTAATGTAAAACCAAGTGGTTGGTCAACTTTGATGTCAGTCAGGTGGTCTGAGACTAGAGGTCCTAGCTGTGTCTGGTGGCATGACAAAGCTGTGCTCTACTAGAACAAAATGTGCCGGTCATTTTTCAAATGTATAGATGTATCTTGACTTTGCTATCTCATATTTGTACTGGCTTAACATGCAGTAACAGGGTTAGTCTCAGTTCATCTCTCTTGAACTTTTCTTGTTTAGCACCAGCTGACATCAACCGTCACTGTACTATTTATGCCAACAAACACTGCCCACTGCATTGGATTTCACCAACAATGACCCAAAACGGTGAATGGCGGGGGTGTACTGTACACTGTCATGCTTTTGGGTTTTTTCAGACATGCATCAGCAGGCCTTGACAATTCCCATGATTCTGCAAATACCATATGGCCTTATTCTTAAACCGGTTTAACACCGAATGAAACTACGTTGTCATGCTTGCTCAGACATTAAATATATCATTTTCCATTTCCTCTAGGGCTTGGCGATTATCATAAAGTTTCATATACATTGATCTCGATAATTACCATGATAAATTTCAAATCTTTGTTTCTTTCAAGTTTAAGGCAGATTTTTGCTCCCAAGTGAAAGTTGTTGAAACCAAACTGTTAACTGTCTTAAACTACTCTTAATGATCAGAACATGACAAACACTTCTTAATTCTTTACGCTTTTCAAGTCATTTTTATTAGATCTTGATGGAAAAATTAATTTCTTAGTTTCTATATGTTCTAATGAGTGATATTGTTTCAATCATGAAACAGATTTGTGTTGCCTGGCTTTGATGTGTATCTTCAGCACAGTTTGAAGTGCAGGCTTCAAAATTAATAATATTACTTTTTTTCTTTTAGAAATGCACATAGTCAGTAGTAGTAGTAGTAGTAGCTTGAGTTAGGATGCAGATGTAAATTTGTTCATTATCAAATACTGTAACATCTGTAAAAATTTAACAATCTCATTTTTATATGTTGAAATATAAGTTTTATTAAAATTAACTGTTGGTCTTCCATAGTATATCATACATTTAGATCATGATGACCAGAGTTATAAAACACGCACATAGCACCTCAATACCATGGTAAAAATTTAACTAGGTATTCGTATGAATAACAGCAGTCTAAATACATTTAGTATGAATGCACAGCTATTGGAGTGCTCGGGTAAGTTCTGCCTGAAGCAACAGTGAGAGGACTTAATTAAAATTGGAGCCGTTACCCCCATCTGTTTTATCCTTTCAGATATATTACCCTTCCTCCTCTCTGAGGCACTTGGAGTGATTTAGCCTCCACCTCCCCGAGCACACATACCAGCCTGAGAACATGACTTTCACGCTCAAATGAATGTTTGCTGTGCTCTGGAGCCTAAGGGACTCTGTTCACTGGAATTAAAGACTGTGTGTGAAGGCATCTGAGCCTATTCTCTATATTACTTGTGGGGGAAAGGACATTTGATGTGTCCAGGTCTTGTATGTTTGTGTATTTTGACATCAGCTCCGTTAAATAGTAACTGACTAAAGCGGTTACATTCAAACTACAAGCTGTTTACACAGTGTTTGTGTTCACGCTTTGTTCATTCACATGCTGTGCTCTTGCTCTGTCCGCGTGGATAACTTTCCCTGAATTGGATCTCATCCAGTGTGGACTAGTATGTGACACAGTTCACAGGGTTGAGAACTACTGTGTGAATCATCTTTTTCAGTCTGTGCTTATGTGCGTTCTGCTCTAAATTCTTTTCTTTTTCTTCTCACAGACTGATCCAGTGTGTTTGAAGCTCAGCTGATCCTTCTCCTCTTCGTCGTCATCGTCAGTGTGTGAAGATGCCGCCAGCGACAGGAGGGCCAGTGGGCTACACTCCTCCAGAGGGAGGCTGGGGCTGGGCAGTGGTGGTAGGGGCCTTTATCAGCATTGGCTTCTCCTATGCCTTCCCCAAGTCCATCACGGTGTTCTTCAAAGATATCGAGGTGATCTTCAATGCCACCAGCAGCCAAGTGTCATGGATCTCGTCGATTATGCTGGCTGTCATGTATGCAGGAGGTCAGTTCAATTTATCACCATCACTTCTGTCCATCCTGGTACTTACTGTACTTATTTATCTATCTGTGAGTATTAAATTGAGAATTGTATTTATTTATTTTGCAAATTACACACAAACATGCTATCCTAAACCCCTATGGGATATTTTATTACAATGATAATCAGTGTTTGGAGAAGTAGGAAAAAATCAGTTTAAAGGTTTGGGGTTGATAAGATTATTTTTAGTTTATAAATACTAAAATCATGCATATTTAATAACGTATTTTTGTCTCAAAAACTTGCGATTTACTTATTGTGTAATTTTCTAGCACATTTCTCTTCCTGTCATAATTGAATACCATCCAGTTGATGTGGCCAATTGAAGTTCACACATTAAAAGGGGCCAAATCGTAGTTTGTGACATCACATCCTTATTTGACATCACATCCTTATACTTATGCCCACCTGGATGGCAAAACAAGGTTTTGTACAAAGTACTAATGTACTGTACTAAAACTAAATACAGTACAGAGCTTATTAATAAAACATACTATGTACAGGCAAGCAGATAAACCCAGAATATGAACGCAGTGAGCAAACATTTCATGTTAAGCATTTTCAAATCGAAAACCATAAAGAATGAATTTGCAATTTAGTGCATCACATTCATATTCTGGGGTCATCTGCTCACCTGTACTGTATAGAGTGTGCATCATCAGTAAAGTGTATGCTGTGTGACCGTAGTACATTATGCCACTTTAAGCACGTTTCATGTTAACTTGCCCAGAACTTCCAGTTTGTTCACTTATATTTCTTTTAAGAGATGATCTAAATATTCATGGTTTGAACCGGATGGAAAATTGACAGGCCTGTGCTGCAGTTCAATGGATGCTGTGCCCTCCGGGTCTCCGTGCCAGTCACATGAATGAAAAATGAGAGTTGTTAAATTCTGTATTTTGGGTACCGCTCTCTCTGTAGATGTTTTATTTGTGTTGGGGTTGTGTTCTGGTTGAGTAAAATAAGGTCAGAACTGAAACACAGCTGTGTGTTTAAACCCTGACACGCTTTTTGCCACTGATGTGCACTGCAGGGCTGTGCATCTGTTTGTTTGCTTGAATTTTTACAAGTTTTCCTTTAATTAAGCTGGTTAGGTAGAGGCATGTTTAAACTGGTTTTCTAACCTGATGTTCTTCCAGGTAATCACCAAGAATGCTATGCTGATCAGATGGTTAAACCACACTTCTTTACTTCTGTGTAGTTGATTTTTTTGGAAAGCATGGCGATGGAATAGGCATTTGAGATGCCTAGCCAGGTTTGATGGGTAGCGTGAAGGGACTGCTGGGAAGAATTTTTGGTTTATGGTTTGAAGAGTTGCTGAGTCACTTGACGCCACACTAGGGAGGATACAAACACGAACATCTAGTATGACTAATACTTGCAGTCAACTGCCGCGTAAGAGCATTTGGGTGAGGACAGTGTAGACTGATGATGTCACTTCCTGAAAGAGAACGTGTCTGTGTGGTTTCCATACACTGACTTCATTATGTTCATGTGGCTCTGCACGTAGCCTGAACTCAACAAAGAGGCTCTTCCAGTCACCTATAACCTGAGAAAGGCAGAGAGAGCGAGTGAGCAGGGTGTTTTTTTTTTGTTTTGTTTTTTCTCCTTTCTTGCACCAGTTGGTGTAAATGTGCATATCTTTGAAAGGAGAAGTGTAGTAAATGTGCATGTGCTGTAACCTGGTGAATTAATGAATCTTTTTCTCTTTCTGTCTTTTTTTTTCTTCTTTCTGTTGCAAGAAGAAATATGAACAACAGGATATGATAACAGGATATGATAACAGGATATGAGTTTACTTCTATAAAGTTTAGGTTCAGTTTTTATCCAGCAAGGATGCATTAAATTGATCAAAAGTGACAGACATTTATAATGTCTTTGAAGAATTATATTTCAAATAAATGCTGTTCTTTTGAATTTTGATAATATTGAATATTTCTTGAGCACCAAATCAGCACATTAGAATGATTTCTGAAAGATCATGTGACACTGAAGACTGGAGTAATGGCTGCTGAAAATTCAGCTTTGCCAGCACTAAAAATTACATTTTTAAATATATTAATAGAAAGAGTCATTTTAAATTGTAATAATATTTCACAACATTACTGTTTACACTTTATTTTTGATTGAAATGTAGCCTTGGTGAGCATAAGAGACTTTCCCAAACTTTTGATCGGTAGTATATATTGTCTGCCTTTTATTAAAAATTGTAATATTAATTAAATATTTAAAATACACTGCTTTGACACTGCAAACCATGCAGCTTCTAATAAGTTTTATTTATTTATTTATTTTTGTAGTAATGTGAAACTGTCAAAAATGAGAGTTTATTACATCTTTCATTTGACCAAGAGGTCAATCTGTGACCTTTAGACCCCTTATTGGTCAAACACTTTGTTGCTGTAGAATTTGCAGGTGAGAGTTCACCAAACTTGAACTTTAGTACGCAGCAAAATGAGATCAATACCAGGGATGGGACAATACCAGGGATTCCCAAACTTTTTTTGTCTGCTGAACACTTTTGACCTGAAATATTTACTTTACTCCCCATTTTAAGTTCATATTTAAATGTAACAACATATTTGCATGTTTACATTTCATTGTTGTTCACTGTCACATGACTTGCAGGCTTTATTATTTTTTAATAAATATTTAAATATATTCTTTATTTTAACTGTACACTTTTATAATTTAATGATTTGCTTTTCATAAACTTACAAACCCCCTGGCCTTCCCTCATAAACCCTTTTTGGAAAGCATGTTCTATATATGCATTTTAATATGAATGAATGGAAGTGATTTGAATCTAGTGTTGTGGCCCTTTAGTCCTTAACTTTTATTCAAGATCCAGAATAATTCTGAGCGAGATGGTCTGGACTCCTCCCACAGACACTTGTGTTCTCACCTGTTTCCCTTGGCTCATGTCAGCACTGATTTGAAGTTATGCCATATAATATCTCTTGTGATTTGTGCCCACATCCCTGGCTGTTTTCAGCCTTGTAAACCGTTAGATTTTTCTCCAGTGTTAGTGGGACTCACACTGCTGCTCCTGTAAGTTGTGCATTTTAAATTCTCTTCGAAAAAGTACAAGCAGCTCTCAGACTGAATATCTAAAACGTATCCTCTGCTGACTCTCACGTCTCTCTGAACCAGTTTATATAATCGTGTGTGTGTGTGTTTGAATCACTGCTGTCTTTGTCTCTTTTTTTAGGCTGGAAAGGATGGCCCGTTTGGTGCTACACATAACACAAAGCTTGTCAGAATAAATTAATTCGGGAAATGTGACTGGGGGACGGACAAATTGCTTTGAACTCTGATTGGCTGCATGAAACGTACACGAGAGTTCCTCCTACTGATGATAGATTAGCTTTCATGACAAACCGGCACATGCGAAGTTTGTAGATATTTCATTTTGTAAACATATAAAAGTAAGAGTTTATAACATTTTTGGTGTCTATACGTTTCTGTACACTATTCATCAAGCCTTTTTTAAAGCTACATGACATGTTAGCATTAGCTGGGGTTGTATGTACACCGTACTATTTGTTATGACGTTTTTATGGAGTTTGCACTAGATTCTTCTGCACTATGTTTCAGATTCTTTCTTTTTGTTTTTGAGTTTACCTACATTTATTACTGCAACAATACAGCTCAGGAGTGAATAAATACTATATTTAAGTATTTAATTAGTATAGCTTGTAGTTGTGTATTTGTAAGGGAACTTCCAGTAATTGCGTCGAGTAAAGGAAGGTCATATAAGGCTGCTCGTTTGGTCTTATTTGCATAATGTTGGAGCTGAGTTAACTGAAATGAACACTGGTCTGCCACACACTGAGACTCTGGTTGCTGGAGGTCAGCTTCATTCTGCTGATTAAGATTTTCTCCTTCGCAGCACCTCAGTTGATCACATGTCATGTAGTGAAGCGTGTGCATATGGTATCACAGTTTCCTTCCTCCGAATCGTCTCCTATGTCCTCCTGCAGTCCAAGTGGTGTGAATGACTGCTGTTGTGATGCCATCTTGTGGTGGAACTGTATGATTGCAACATTAAAAGAGTACAAAATGCGGCCCCTCCCTTACGAAAATTAACCGTTGTTTTATTATAGTAAAAGTGAAATAACCATGTTTTTTTTGGCGTATTGATTACCATTTGTATAACCACAGTTTTACCACAAATACCATGATTAAATCATTGTTAGTTTAGCTAAAACATGGTTACAATGGTTTTAACTATAGTGACCATGTTTGTTTGTGTTTTATTTGTAGTAAAACCAGTTAATTTTCATAAGGGCTGAAAGAGATTTATGTTTTTCAACAAATTGTGAGTAAAATTGATTGTCAGCATCAGGAGGACAAAATAAATATTATATGAGCCGTTTTATATTCTAGTTATTTGATTAAGAGACCATTTTTGCAACCCTGTGTGGCGTGTGTTTCTGTATGTGTGGTTTTGCCTTTTTTTTCATTTGTTTTTGTTTTTTATTTTGTTAAAAAATTATACTTATTATTATTTTTTTATATATATAGGTTTAGCATTTTGTTTTTAATCCAACTGTTTTTGCTCAAGTTGACGAGTTTTGTAAAACTACATATCAAATGAACAGAATATAAAACAATTACAAAATTGTTACCCATTCTGGTGTTTAAATTTTTTTTTTCTATATTTTATTCAATTTTATTTAGCTAAAAAATGAATACAGTTTGAAACTTATTTATTTTGCTGCTTTCTAAACATTAGATAAACATGAATTAAATTGATATTTTATTTTTTTTTAAATCACAACGGGTAACGGTTACAAATTTAGATTTAATTTAGCCAATGAATGTAGGTTTTAGTTCATTTTTACTTTTTTTTTTTTTTTATAAACCACCTGTTTTCTCTTAGGTTTAAGTTTTGTAAACCTCATAACAGAAGAATAGAATATAAAACAACAATTACAAAATGTTGTTTTATTTTTATTATTTAATATTTTATTTATTTTTATGTAATATTTTATTTATTTTAGCTATTTTCTAACAAAAAATTATTAAACATCAACATTACAATGTATAAAATATCTATCTATCTATCTATCTATCTATCTAACATGTTTTCTCTCAACAGGACCACTCAGCAGTATTCTGGTGAATAAGTTTGGTAGTCGGCCAATCATGATTGCTGGGGGCTGTCTGTCTAGCACAGGGTTAGTCGCCGCCTCCTTCTGTAGCACAGTGGAGGGTCTGTACTTCTGTGTGGGAGTTATAGGCGGTAAGTACACTGAATGACTGATCATAACTATTCAGAGACCTGAAGACCGAGTGAGTACAATTAAATAATCAAAACTTCAGAAATCAGTTTTCTCCTCCTCTCATTTGTTTCTAGGCCTGGGTCTGGCTTTTAATCTGAATCCAGCATTGACCATGATTGGTAAATACTTCTACAAGCGCCGGCCAATAGCTAATGGCATCGCGATGGCGGGCAGCCCAGTGTTCTTGTCCACTCTTGCCCCGTTGAACAGCTGGCTGTATGATCAATTTGGGTGGAGGGGCAGTTTCCTCATTCTGGGCGGAGCTTTGCTGAACTGCTGCGTTGCGGGGTCACTAATGCGGCCCATCGGACCAAAACCACAACCTGCCAGTCCAAAAGAGGATGGCGAGCCCAAACGTCAAGAGAAAAAGACATGCATGCAGACCGTCAACAGCTTCCTGGATCTGACCCTGTTCACTCACCGAGGCTTCCTGCTGTACCTGCTTGGAAACGTCATCATGTTCTTCGGCCTCTTCGCGCCTCTTGTGTTCCTCAGTAATTATGCGAAGAGTAAAGAGATTTCCAAGGATAAGGCTGCGTTCTTGTTGTCCATCCTGGCCTTCACCGACATGATCGCTCGGCCGTCCATGGGCATGGTGGCCAACACTCGCTGGGTCCGTCCACGTATCCAGTACTTCTTCGCCGCATCTGTGCTGTATAATGGCGTCTGCCACTTGTTGGCACCACTCTCCACCGATTACGTGGGTTTTGCCATTTATGCAGTGTTTTTCGGTGTGGCATTCGGCTGGCTGAGTTCTGTGCTGTTTGAGACTCTCATGGACCTGGTGGGCGCTCAGAGGTTCTCCAGTGCTGTGGGGTTGGTGACCATCGTGGAGTGTGGGCCTGTGCTGCTGGGGCCTCCGATGTTGGGTAAGGCTGAGTGTCAAGCCATTTCACTTAAAGGTGCACACAAACATGGCAATTTACACACCCTCATGTCATTCCAAACCAGTGACAGTTATTTCTTCTGTGAAATAAGATTTAAGAATGTTGGTAACCAAACAGTTGTGGTTACCACTGACCATTCTATGTTCCACAGGAAAAAGTAAGTCATTCATGTTTGGATTGACATGAGGGTAAATTAGATTTTTTGGGGTGAACCATCCCTTTAACATTTATTTTTATTAAATGTTAATACACCTTTAAATGATTATATAAAGTACATGAATATTCTGTTTAATTGTATTATTTATGGTTAATAAATTCATTCATTTTATTAGTAACATTTTAGTTGAGCATGAGACTTTTAAGGATACATTTGATACTTTTTATAAAAATGTGTATATATACAATTAAATATTAAAATGAAATAATATAGCTTAAAAAGTCATAATTAGTTCATAGTAATTAATGTGTAAAATGCTTGTATATTTGGTTTAATTTTACATGTTCTCATCAACTAATATATATATTATATATATATATATTATTATTTTTTTTTTTTTTTAAATTCATGATTGACATGACAAAATATTGTCTAAATTTAAAGGATATTTTGGCAAACATTGATATATATTAAAGTTAATTACTATTATATTCATATTAATGTTAAATAATACAAGAAATATTAATGAATATGACATGACTGTATTGATAAAGTATATTTTAAACAAAAATATTAATAGAAATACATATTAAATTGAAAGGTACCGTAATAAATATCCAAAAAGTGATTATTATTAAAATTAAATATGTAAAATGCTTGAATACAAAAACGAATGAATATGACATGACAAAATATTGACTAAATGTAAAGAATAATTTTATCAAAAATATAAATGCATAAGATTTAATATTAAAAATTATATAAAATTTTATAATAAAAATATTTAAAGTAATTTTAATACTAATTAATGTTATTATTTACATTATTATGTACATATTATGTTACTAAAATGAATAGAGCTTAATAAAATGATTAAATTTAACCTAAATTGCACTCAATTTAAGAGTTTTTTTTTAATCGAAAGTTAAATATAAAAAACAAAAAACAAAAACAGACCAGATTGTCATGGCATTGGTGTGAGATTGGGATTGGACTTCTCAGCTTTACATTAATCACTGAACATCATAGCATATCCTGTTCCAGTTAGTGTGTAAAAGAGACTGACAAACCCGTTTTTCCATTTCTTCTCTTGCAGGAAAACTCAATGATGATTACGGTGATTATAAATACACATATCAGGGTTGTGGAATCATCCTGGTGATTGCCAGCATATTCTTGTTCGTGGGAATGGGAATCAACTACCGGCTGGTGGACAAAGAGAAGAGGGAGGAGGAGAAAAGAGCTAAACAGGAAGACAAGGATGCAGAGACGAATGTAGACAATGCCCTGATCGAGAAGGCAAAGGAGGTGGATGGAGACGCATGGGATGCATAAGCTGACATTGCCAAATGGAGGAAACAATATTATGCACACACACACCAACAATCTGTCTTCCGGTTTTGACCGTCCAAAATGATAAACGCAAATCATTTCCCCTCTAATGCATCACTCAATGATTCAGCCAGTGTTTAAAACAGCACAAAGGACTATGATGCCAAGAAATTCTCCTTTGTGCAATCCCACACACGTCTCAAATGTTACTGTCATTCTCCCAACATCCATACGGGGGTGTCTCCGTACCTTAATGTCACAATTCACCTTTTTTTGGTATATATTATAACCATTATGAGAGCATTCCTAGTTTTTGACTCCAGAATAACACAGTTTATACACCTTTAAATGAAACCACAAAATGCACATTTCAAAATATTTTATGAGAATTATGATGTGTGACATTTAAGGTAACATGCACACAGAATTTGTCAGTTCAAGACATGGAAGAAGAAGAAATATTTCACTCTTCTGTCTATCTTCCATCTTAGAAATATAGTGTTTTTTAACTAAAGGTCATTATTATATGTAGGATACACTTCTCTCTCTCCCCCCCACCCCCTTTTTTTTAAGTTGAGCTTGATGTTTTTTTGTTTAGTGCGTGTATGTAGTCTTCCCTGTTCTGATTGGCTGGTAGAAAATAGTGCCAGGCTTTGCTAGACTGCCATATAAAGACAAAGTGCAAAAATTGTCAAGACAGACAGTTTTTGGATTGATTTGATATCAGCTTTTGTGCTCTGAACATTTAGTAAATCCCTTCTGTCACTGGACTCCAATTCACTCATGAAATAGGGCAAAATGTGTAATTACTGTGTTTTGCCTTTGCATGGCAGAAGAATTCACTGTTTGTTTCCAAGTGCTGTTTAATGTATTTTTTGACGGGCTGCTTCCTGCTCTGGTGATCTCATTATCTCACATTGGTTATCAAACTCTTTACTCTCTGTACTGTAACCATGAAGATTTCTGTGGTTACCATTTTTAGGAACTACAGCAGACACAATATTGCAAAGGTCTTTTTTTTTTGACTGAGGCAGTTAGACTGCTAGAGATGTGCTTCAGCTTTTACGATAAGTTTCACCAGGGTACATTCAAATAGGGGATCCTTTTACAAGTGTGTGTTCACTTGCTTTTTTGACCACGTTGTTTTTAAATGTCTAGAAACCGTTTTAATTACGGTTGCCAACAGAACCTGTGCCTTGATTAGGTCCCTTTCTGTCTACATACAGGTTTTATTTGTATTTAACAGCCATACGTGTAACAATACTAACTCCTGACCCTTTTTTACAGAGCTTTTTGCAATGTCAAGAGGATGTGTAGTGATTTTAATGTGATAGTCTGATATTTAGCTTTTTGTGTCATATTAAGGAAGAGTAGAGCGCTTCATTTTAAACTGAGCCAGCAACAAACACGCTACTGAGTTTGTGTTGGCTAGAAATAAAGACAACTTCATTTCAAGTTCTGCTAGTGTTAACCCGCACTCACTAAGGTGCTCTTTTTTTTTTTTACAAACTGAAATAGGTGAAGGAATATTCTTGAAGTTTCTCAAGCCATTTTATTCCTTCTGCTTTTTAGATTTGCTGAGCATGTGAAAAACAACACGACTCTCAGGTCTGCGAAAAGAACAAGATTTAGCAGATCTCAAACATATCAGTAACCGTTTTGGCTCTCTAGAGTGAGTCAATTTCAGGTGAAAACATTGAAACAAAGGGAGGAAACACCACCACCTGCTGGCTGCTGGGATTCATTGCGACACTGCAGTCAAATAGCAGGCGAATCAAAAACGTGGTTTCTGTGTAGTATTTTTTAGAAACTTTTGTTTCAGCATAGTAAATCTGTTCTAGTGTCGTTTAGTCAGTGCAGATTGCAATTTTTGTTTCGTGCACTTTAATTAGGTACATTTAAGGTGAAATTCATACTTTGAGTTATGCACACGCAGCATTCATGGTGTAAGCCAAATTATTTTACTTTTTTTAAACTTTTTTTTCCTGAGTAGAATCTGTGTGGGTCCTGAGGGATGTGCGCTTGTATACAGTTCTCTGGTAATGTAATCTCAGAGCTCGCCTGAATAATAGCAGCTGTGAGACAAAAAGCAGAAAGAGAAGCAGGGCAGTGTTAACGACTCGTTTTCAGTATCTCAGATAAGATCAGTATCGCTGCTTCGACTGCACTTCTGTTTACAGGATCAGAGCTGTCTAAACTCAACTCCACTGTGTGTGCAGGTGGATTTCTTATTAGTGTTGGTAATTGTGTGAAGAAAAATACTGCTGTATAGAGAAAATGGACCACCCTGAGAAAATGCATTGTAAAGGGTAAAGCCTTTTTACTCTTCTAATTTTTCCATCGTCGTATTCCCGCTTTTAATTGTGGGTCGATGTAACAGAAGTAACACCAGCGTGCTTTTAAAATGTCTCCTGTCAGAAAGACACTTGACTTGAGGTGAAGAGAGACATGGTAGGAAGTGTTTGTATTTGTGTGTGTGTGTGTGTGTGTGTGT